TCTCTAGGCCTTCTGCAGGCCAGTAAAAAGATAATTTATAGCCCCAATACTCAAATGATAGCAGACAGCCTGAAAATTAACCCGTTACTATAAAAGTTAAATGGATTGCTTGCCCACCACATTCAAGCATTAACTCAATCAAAAATTATTTATTGGGGCCTATTGGTGCCAGATGCTACATTAGCGCTTAGGAGACTTTGGTGAAAAAGATAGGGCCATATCCTTGCAGGATGCTATTGGGAGAAGACAGATGACAAATAAGTAAGCAAAGCCCACCTGGTTACAGGTGTGCAGTGACCAGCAACTGTAGGAAACAAAGGTTGGGCTGGGTTAGAGCACTGTGAGGGTGGGTGTTCTGCACAGTATGCTCAGAAAGACCCTGAGTAGTTGACCTTGATGCCTAAAGGGACAGGAAGGGGAGGAGGAAGGTATATTCCAAAGGCAGAGGGAATAGCAAGTTTAAGGACCCCAGGCAGGACAAGAAAAGGAAAGGGGCTGTGTTAGTGGGATGCAGAGAGTGACACAGCAGTGTGGCTGGAGAACCTGGATATGGGGCAAAGGCCAGCACCTTGTCAGATGGAGGTATGGAAAGAGAAAGACATGATTTAATTTGTAATTTTTTTTTTTTTGAGAAAAAGTCTACTATGTTGCTCTGGGTAGAGGGCTGTGGCGTCATAGGTCGCAGCAACCTTGAACTCTTGCACTTACACGATTCTCTTGCCTCAGACTCCCAAGTAGTGAGACTACAGGCGCCTGCCACAATGTCCGGCTATTTTTTGTTGCAGTTGTCAGTGTTATTTAGCTAGCCTAGGCCAGGTTTGAACTCACCAGCCTTAGTGTATGTGGCCGGCGCTGTAGCCACTGTGCTATGGGTACAGAGCCTGATTTGTAATTTTAAAAGCAGGTCATTCAGACTCCTATGTGGACAGTGGACTGGCGATAACCCAGAAGGGATGCTGGGGCCCTGTTAGGAAGTTTGTCCAGGAAGAAGGCATGGTGGCCAGGAATAGAGTGGGAACTGCAGTTGGGGGAGAGGTGAACACACTCCAGGCACACCCCAGAAGGGGAGCCCACAGCACCAGGTGACAGCCTACAGGTGCAGGTAAGGAAGAGGAGTGAGTGGATGGCAGGGTCACTGACTAGGATGGGGAAGACAGACAGAAGGAATATAGCGGGCTCCATGTACCGATGGAGTTGGAAGCCCTGAGAAAGGTCTGTGTTAGAAATAAAAACATAGGAGTCATTTGCCTGTAGAATGGTGTTTACAGTCACAGGGGCTGTCAGAGCATCGCCTAGGAAGAGAGCATTGACAGAAGAAGGGACCATTTCTGGGAATCAGATAAAGGAGGAGCAACCAGTGGGGAGACCAAAAAGCAGCGATCAGGAATGTAAGAGGAAAGCCAGGAGAGCACAAAAGCAGAGGGGAAGAGAGGCCTCGTGGAGGCTGGAGTAGCCATTTGTAAGGAATGCTGCTGAGAGGTGGGGCAAGAGGAGGGCAGAGATCTGGCAACACATGGCCATCTGTCCCCTGCAGTTTAGGCTCAGAGATAGGGGCTAAAGCCAGGCTGTAAAGTGTAGAGGGTGAACAAATGGCATGAGAAGAACATGAATAGGGCCAATGGACTTGCACATATCTTTTGAGATGTTTTCAGGTGAAAGGGAGCAGAGAAGTAGAATGGACGCAGGAAAGGGATGCAGGACAGATGGAGAAGCTTGAGCCACACTGTCTAATATAGCAGCCACCAGGTCACATCCTCAGTAGTGTGAATAGTTCATGGGACCCTACTGGACTAATATATGCTCCTATACTGATGGAAAAGATGCCGGAGTGAAAAGAGGTTAGGAAGGAAAGATAGTCTCTGAAAAGGTAGGAAGGGGTGGGATGCAGCCTACCCAGGAGGAGTGGGTCTCCAGCAGGACAAGAGGAGGGATAACGCTCATCAAAGCAGGTGCTATGGGATGGGTATGGGACCTCCTGCCTCATTTTGAAATTTGATTCAAATGTTAGAGGTGTCTGTCATGGGGACAGGAGTCCCTCATGTATATAGTAATACCCTTCCTGTGGAGGTGGAGGGAGTTTTCACTCTCAGTCCCATGAAAGCTGGTTATTGAGCTCCCAGGTGAACTCTGCACACACCAGCTCCCCTTCACCTGCCGCCCTGAGTGCAAGCCCCCTGAAGACCCGTCATATGCTGGTGTCATACTTCTTGTACTGCCTGCAGAACCCTGAGCCAAATATACCTCTTTAGAAATTACCCAGCCTCAAATATTCCTTTATAGCAAAATAAAGGGACCGAGGCAACAGACAAGTAGGAGAAGGTAATAGCAGCTGTCACCTGGACCAGGCAGTGGGTCAGAAAGACCCCGAGCCAGTGCCCTGGTCTGTGACTCTTATTTTGTCAATGAAACGGGGTATGCACTGGGAGGGGGAGAGAGCCCGAAAAGGGAAGTAGGTATGAAATAGTTGCCTTGGGGAGCAAGAACGCAAACACTGAGAAACCACACACTTAACACAGAACACTTCACAGAAGAGAAGTGGGAAATAGCAGTGAACATTTAAAGGGAGAGAAGCATCTTAAGTAGGGAGAGGTAAACTGAGGTTGTTTTTTTTCTTTAATTAAATCCTGCTTGTACCTGCACAGTAGAGCCATGACGAGAGTATAGGGCCATGGCAAGGCTTTCCACTGGCTGCCCTTTCTTGGTTCTTCCCTCTCATGCTACTCAACTCTCAGAAAGGATGACATTGGTTATATTTTCAGTTAAAATGGCTACCTCCACCCTCCTCTATCTGAACTGCTTATCCAACCCTTAGCTTCATCTCAATTTACAACCATGGCTTGTACATTCACGTAAATTATAGAAGAGCAGATATATTAAAAATGGCAAGGTAGCTAGGAGCTACAAACCAGCCCTTACTTACAAAAAGTGAGTAATATATACCCTTTACTAGATGATATTAAAATTACATGAAAGACAGATCTTTGTTTAAACAAAATCCCCCAACTACTCCTCCCTCGTTTTTCACAAACAAAAATTATTTTCTGACATTTTCTCTAAGCTTTTATGAGTAAACATTTTCATTTCCACAGAACTATTTGATCTCAACCACATAGTTTCAATATTTGTTTTTGATCACACAAGTGTGCTGGGTTGGTTTTGTACTGGCTAGGGGGAGGAGGACTGGAGAGAGAGTTAAAATTACCAGATCCCTTTTATCTTCCATCTTGAGACCTATATTTTCCAACTCCTCCTTCCCATACATTTTTTTCTTTTTTAAGAGACAGAGTCTCACTTTGTCACCCTTGGTAGAGTGCTGTTGCATCACAGCTCACAGCAACCTCCACCTCTTGGACTTAGGCAATTTTCTTGCCTCAGCCTCCCGAGTAGCTGGGACTACAGGCGCCTGCCACAATGCCTAGCTATTTTTTGTTGTTGTTGTTGTTGTTGTTGCAGTTTGGCTGGGGCTGAGTTCGGTATATGGGGCCAGCACCCTACTCACTGAGCCACAGGCGCCGCCCCATACATTTTTTTTTTAAGTATTAAATCTGAGAACCTCAAACGTTCCCACTGTTCAAAGATCAGCCCTTTCATAGTCCCCCAAGGATTCACTGGAAACGTCACCCAAGAGCTGCCTCCCAGTTAGGGTGCCTCTTGTAAAACATCCACCGTTCCTGCAGATCTCCTGGTGGGCACAGAGGTCATCAGCAAACTTCCTCTGCCTGCCTTCCCCACTCCTCTCTGGTGCCCTGTTCAGCTCATGTTGCCCACAATTCTCACACTTGAACCTCTCAAAATTCCTCTTAGCCTATGCCTACAAATACTCGGCAGTCTCCCGCCCCCTGGCTAAGTCTCAGTGAGTAAACTGACTCCAGAAACTTAACCTGGAGTAAGATGCAATAAAGCCACTGACCCACGGGGGTTGTGATAGGCCACCAGGACAATCTGGCCCCTTCCACCGCACCACTGCCTTCTTATGCCTCATCCCTCCCAAACAGGAAAGCGAGATCTCTAGACCAACCCAGCATAAGTATTTGGGACCGGTGAAGTTCTATTTGCAAACGCCACGCTCAGTAGCTCTGGTTCACCTACTCACCCCAATACCCACAGCCAGGGCCTTGCCTCTACTGCTCACTGAATGTCCCCCTTCTACAAATGCTCATTAGCTAACTACTTTGAGCGTTTCCTGCTCTGTAAAATGGGCAGAAGTCCAGTTCCCTGGATATGCGCACACCACCGCGGTGTGCTCACACAAGGTGGGCAGATGGAAGGAGTTAATCGTGTTATTAGCACAGCGGCTCCCTGACTCACAGCGCCTACTGCTTAGACGCCAAGGGGAAAGCAATCCTGCTTTTCAATTACTTGATACACTCAGAAGCATTAGTCACTCGGGCAGAGTACTTCAACTTCCCTCCAGAGCATCTACCCGGTTATTTCGCCTCGCCGCCGCTTCGCCTGGCTCCTCACCGGCTGTCCCCACCTTCAGCCATCTCACCGCAGATCTCAACTGCACTATTCCTACGCCGGAGATTCAGTATGGTTTGATGTGTCCCCCTTCCAGGAAAACTTCGATTTCCATTTTCGTTGTAATAAATCCAGTCGTGGAGAACGACAAACTGCTTCTCACACTCTCACACACAGGCCCTGGAGGTCTTGCCCGGAGTCGAGGGGGCCGCGGAACAGCGGAGCACAGAAGCCGGCGAGGGTACCAGTGCTTCCTGGAGCCCGCTCCCCGCCCGGCTGGGGGTGAAGGGCCGCGGGGTCCGGGCAAAAAGTGGGCGGCCAGGCCGGCTGTCCTGCGGGGGTCGGCGAGCCCAGGCCGGGCTGTCGGAGGGCGCGGATCGGCGGCCCCAGGCTCCCAGGGCCGGCCGTGAGCTCGCTCCCGGCTGGGAAAGGCAAGGACTGCCTGGGGGCTCCCAGCCTGGCACGCGAGTCCCGGCCCCGCAACCCCTCTGGGGAGCGCGCAGGGTGCGCGCGGGGTACGCGCGGCACGGCTCACTCACCCCATCTCCGGCGCTGCTCCGGCGGCCGCTCCAACGGGGCCTCTTGCGGTCGCTTTCCGCCTGC